GGGGACTCACGCTCAAGTCTGCGTAAAAGGTCTTGTCTTAGGCGGCCTGAAGACTCATGAGTACTGGATTTTTAAAAGGATTATGTACATCTAGTGTCTTGGAAACAATAATATCTATATATATAGCCTAACTTCTGAATTCCTGTAGGCTAAAGACTTTTTTGTTGACACCCACCCTTTGGCGCTCATATGACTTTATGCAGTTGCGAGCGCCGTAAAGCCCTCTACTATAAAAAAAACCCCAAAAAAACTGTTCCCCTTGACAGCTTACGTTTCAACCACAATTTTCAGTTCCAAACATTTGTTTTGTTCCTTTTACTTACAAGGACAGAATGAGATCCCCCGAATAAAGCATCATCATGGTCGATAGTCAAATAGACCAAAGCCATTCAGGCTGGACTTTAATGCTATTGCTAGACTAGACCCAATTACCGCAGAGGACCTTCAGTGGACCGGCACTCTTTTGTCTCTTATGGCAGGTTCTTTACTAAAGAGGGGGCAAATACGGACATTTTCTTCACCAAGAAATTTAAACTAAATTTATTGAAAAGCCTTTGTTAAAAGTGGACACAAAAAGTAAAAGAGGACCCATGTGCGTATGTGTGTGGACAAGGGGGAGGGGCAGCTGCAAACTTCTTAAAGGTAATGTATGTTGACTATTATGTGCAGTCAAGGCATCCGTCGGAGGTTGAAAATTAAGGCTAACCTCTCTAGCTTCAACAGCACAAGGTTACTTTTTCTGAGGAAGGGGGGGGGGGGTGTCAGTTACTTTGCGGTGTACTCATAATCAGAATGAGAAGAGGACTGGGGTATGCGATATAGTGGTTAGGCACTTCACTGTAGAGCTGCTCTATGTGAGGTCGATTCCTGTGTGGGGAGAATTTTTAAATCTTGCAACACCATCTGTCTGCTGGATCATTGATTGTATCCCTCTCCGCCCATTGACCCTGACAGGGTAGGTCTAAGCAGCCCACCTCCTAAATGATTCAAATAGTGTTGGTGGGGGCGTAAAAAAAACTCCTACAGTTACAATTTATGAGGACAGGACATGGGTGGTTACAATGCTTTTTTTCGTCAGGTCATTTGTGGTTTGGGTTTGAGCAGGTCTGTCTGAACCAAATGTCAAACAGTCAGGACTGTACTGCGACCATGACGCCAAACTAGAGGCATCTGTCTGGCCGAACATAGTGTGTGCGGCTGTTTTTTTTGGGTTTTTTAAAGTTCAGGTTCTAAGATAATTTTCCTTTCTCGTTTCCAGAAGCTGTATGACGACATCAAGGACACGTATGGAAAGCAAGACGATGAGGAATAATGAGACGCCCACAGATTCATAGGAAACACAATTTTGTAGAGAGACATTAAATTATCATTCATGATTCCTCCAACTCATTGGCATGGCTGTTTGATACGGTGCAGAGAGAAGACCTTCAAGACCAGAGGCTTATTATAGACTTGGAAAGGACCTTCAAGATGACTATCATATATATAGATCATTTTTTCGGTTTTAATTGTATGATTTAAGCGTTACCTTTAGGACCTATGATAGTATCTGTATCGATCAACCTTGTTTAGATTTGGAGTCTGAGCTATGTACCTGGAATGAATATTTAGGTGATGCAAAATGTGAGAGAAGTATGAAAGCCTGTCCAAGTGTATAAATTATGTAATAAACATTCATTCTTGTCTGCTGTTCTAACTTTCGGGTATTTTCTGGTTTTATGCTTTTTATTGTTGTAAATGTGAATATTAGTGTGTTGTAAAAAGTTAACATTGTTGTATACGGTACTGTTCTGCTTGAAAAGAATCTATGGTAATAGGACCAAGCACAGTTTAGATTAAAGTCAAAGATTTGTGCTGGAGCTAGAGAAGTAAGTGAAGTTTAGCAAGTAGATCTAGACCTACTGTGAATATAACTCCATTTCTTGACACATGTTGTGAAAGTTACTTCTTAAAGGCCAAGAACAGCTTCTTTGACTGATCGGATCAACCTCTTCAGCCAAGATTTTTAGAGTAAAATTTTTAAAAATTTGCGGCTGGGACCATTGGTAAAGTGTAAAGGGAGCAGTCAGTTGGGCTTTGCTGGTGTTCATAAGACAAGATCACCTTTCTGGTTCCAGTATGACACAAACTGTCCCAGCTTGATTTATAGAATAGCAAGCAAGTGATGCCTGGCTCGCAATTTGAAAGCTTTGCTTTATTTCTCCTGTTTGATCTTCCTCTTCTTCTTCCTCTTCCAAGTACTGGTGGCTTCAGTTTATGACTTGTGTTCTTTTGGGGATTAAAGAAAAAGTTTTTCCATACCTGTATTCGTCATTGATAATAATGTAGACAAAGGATGACCATATAAGACCCCCCCCCCCTCTCTCTCTCTCTCTCTCTCTCTCTCTCTCTCTCTCTCTCTCTCTCTCTCTCTCTCTCTCTCTCTCTCTCTCTCTCTCTCTCTCTCTCTCTCTCTCTCTCTCTCTCTCTCTTTCTTTCTCTCTTTCTCTCTCTCTTACACACACACACACACTTACACCCTGGTATGGAATCTAGGCTGCCAAGAAGGGTTCTCCGCTTATTTCTGTTCTGGGTGACCTTCTCTATCCCCAGGCAGGTGTGCCTCACGTATCATGTTGAGATCGATATCCAGATCTCGTTCATGTAGATTTCGGCCTTTCTTACATCCATACCGTACAGTGTACCATCAATGAGCATTTTGTACCACTGATAGGCAGATAGAAAGATAGGCAGTACTATCTTTTTTAATACAATAAGATGAGTGTATGAAAAATCAAACCAGCATCTGTAGCTGTGGTGTTGCTGTTAGGAACTTAATAGTTGCATGCAGGAGACCCCGAGTTCGATTCCTGAGTGGGGAGAATTTTTTTTGGAGTATTTTGGTCTTTCTGCTAGGATGTTGTACCGCTCATAGTCTTGGTTGGCCCTGGCAGATAGGGTCAGAGGCCCGCCTCCCAAATGATCTAAATTGTATCAATGTGGGGTGTAAAAACATTTTACACTGTATTTTTAACAAATTTATTATGCTGAAATCAAAATTCTTCTTGCAAGGAATCGGCACCAAGTCAAACTGAATGGATTGAGCGCACGGAAGTAGGTGATAGTAATTGAGTCTGAGTAAAGGTTAAAGCTGTTTTATTTGATTGAATTAGCATTCTGCTTTGTAGGCCTGTGTTGGGTCTGCTTTGAGAAAACGTGTGTGGACTCTGAAGTTAAAGCTTTAGTGTGACCGGTCCATTATATACAATAATATACATGTATTATATATTACAGCATGGTGTAAGCAGGCGCTCGTCAAAATAATTAAATTTTTCTGCTGGTTTGTGAATGTTTATCAAATTTTTGTTTTTTGGCTCAACACCTTTCATACCCATTAAAGAACTAATTTCTGTGTGGATTTTTCTGAAAAACCGTGATTAAAGGTACAAAAAATGTAAAGTTTTAGTTACCACGGACTCTTTAGTAAGGAAGTAAATAATCTTTGGAGGCCAATTTCTCACTAATTTTACCTCTGAAAATAGGTGAACCCCACCCCCTTCTTTCGCAAATATCTCGACTTGTATTCAAGATAAATGGATTTTTTTCCATCCATTTAAAGACAAGTAAACACGCTTTAAGATGATACCAATAACTCTACATGCCCAAAAATTGACGAGAGCCTGATTCCACCGCGCTGCCACACATATAAATATTTTATACCTGATGTAAAAGTAAATCTGTTTATATAATAATAATATATATGGAAATCCAGATGAACAAAGGACTCAAACTTTCAGAATGGAGGATAAGCTGAACAGAACGTGTGATCTGTTTATATTTCTCTTAGTAGGATGCTACTACCGGTACTTATATTATTATTAATATTATTATTATTGTTACTTTCACTTCGAGATTCGTTAGGTTGCAGTACTTGACAGTATGAAAAAAGAATAGAGTACCTTTTCATTTGGGTTATACATACCGCGCACACACACACACACACACACACACACACACACACACACACACACACACACACACGCGCGCGCGCTAAAAACAGTCCCATGAGTTAATTGCACCTTTTCAGCACTGCTTTTTAGTAATGTACCGTTGACTCCTGTCAAGAAAAGTCAGAGACAGACCTAACTGCTGAAAAACTCAAGTTTATCGTATGATTCTGTATACATCGTGATATTATATTATATCAGCAAACAGAAGATTAAGGTACTTGATAAAATAACTTTTCTATGCCATGAGGGAATCAACAAACCCACATCCTCTGTTCGATTTATCTTCTAAAATTGGAAAAGAAACCCATTAATGGATTAAATAATCAAACACTAACAAATAGATCTAAATCTAATCAGTGTTATTTGCATTCTCTTATTGTTTCATTTTAATTTTGAAATAATATAACAACATTTTTGTGGCAAAATGTTTTTGGAAAAGGGGATTTATTTTTATTTTGTTTTTGGGGGCCCAAAAAAAAATGCCCCCCCCCCCCCCCCCCCCCCCCCCCCCGAATACAAAAACCCCAAGAAATCTTTAATCTTATGTAGGCGTTACTCATTACACCCCCATCATCACGATTACTATTAAAGATCATGTGATATATATATAGAAGAACGTGGGCTGCGATCATTATATCTGTCGACTGTCGGGGCCAACCCGGGCAGAAAAAAGGATACAACAACATCCCAGCAGAAAGACGTAGTACATGTAGTAGTAGTAGTAGGCCTACCAGCACTCAGAAGAAAAAAAATTATCCCCACTAAGGAATTTTTTTTTTTTTTAAAGAGGGTCTTCTCGTTCCATGTCCTGCGACGTTACGCCGCAGAAGCCAGTTCACATCGTCTGTATACTATACTATGAGTATGGCCCCAGTGAAGATTAATCTATTACCGTGCAGATAAACTGAACGAATTCATCGAACGGGACCTTCCAATTTGTTGAATCCCAATGTAGTGATGTTAGAAAGGTGTGACTAACGCGAGCATTTTAAATTGTTAAAACGAATGGGATATAATATAGTATGTTTTACTTGTATCATCGTCATGGTACAAGGACAATTACATTTAGTCGTATAAACATTATGTACCCCACATTTCTGGAGGCCACCAAGCTTCGCGCTAATAATACATTGTGATGTGTTCATTGGCATTGAGGGACTCTCACAAATGATGATATTTAGACCGAAGTTCATTACTCTGTGCTGAATCATCTGGAAGATACAAAATTTCGTATAGTTTGCACACGTGTTTGAATCCCAGGGAAGAGTGGAGCTTCAGAGATCTGACGTTGTCCACCAAAATCACTGTTACCACTGGCAAGCCGTCGTCTTGGTACTTCTTTGCCTGCTGGGATACTATGACCTTTGACAGACCACGCCCCCTCATGCTGGGATTGACGTGGAGCCGTGTAAGAAACCCATGTTCTGATCCCAGCTCCACCCCGACACACTCGCCGCGACTGTAAATAAAAATACAAGACAGAGTAAAAACTAAGAGGCGTGTTACTACTAATGTAACAGATTGGCTAAAATTTTTAATGTAGTCTAAAACAGTTTTATGCGCTCACAGTCGAAAGCTCCGCATCCCGGACTCCGGCGAGGAGATCATCAGGAGAGAATGCGTCGCCGTTTCAGAATCAGACTCTTCCTCTCTACAGCTTTTCTGGCGCACCGAGCCCCGTCACCGATGTGAAGTCTCCATGCTAGTCCGACTGTTTTCCTCTGCTGTCAACTCTCAGGATTCATTCCAGCCTGCATCCTCTCTCTTCAACCGGATCCAGTGACTCGCTTTTTCAACTGTCTCCTGAAAGGAATTTATGATTTCGTTATTTTTCTTTGCAGTAACTCCTGCCACTCTCATCCACTTTTTGACGCTAGTTGCTACGAAACCTCTGCAGCCAACTTCAACTGGAAAGCGAGTTGCTTTCCTCCCTGCCTCCTCACATTTTTCGACGAGCGCCGAATATGTTCTCTTTCCGCTCTTGTGCAGCATTGATGTTGTCTTCTTGAGGCACTGTGCACCTTTCTCTTTTTCCTTCCATAACACCAAGTCTGGTTTTTTTGTTGTTGGGATGGGGAAGAATCTCTCGAAGCCCTTTAGGTCTGCAGCTTCCTCCCATACGCCACAGCTCTGGTCTTTCATGGCTTCGTTTGCTTTCTTTTTTGTTGGGAACCTTGCTTCCTTGCGGAACGAGCTCAATCTTGGCTAGTCCATGCTACTGTAGCTTGAGGGTGTATTTTCCTTCTTCCATCGGTTTTTTTTATCGCCATCGTGGTAAGCATTTTCAGCACACATATGTATTTAAATACTTCAACCACTTGTAAAAATCTATTTAAAGAATGCTTACTCTTTGTGTTACAATCATCATCTTTCCGATTTTCTGTCCTAGAACTTTTATTTTGCTATTATGTAACAGAATGTCGTGTTTTTTTCTCAAAACTTCAATTTTTTATAGTTTTTCTCATCTACTTTTTTGTTTTCTATTTGACTCCAATGAAATTTTCAGGGCTTATAAATCACACCATAACCTAACTTTATACAGGTGGAAAATCAAATCGATGCATTCATAAGTGAGTTAATGGATGATTATGTCATCTAATTCAAAGGCATGAAGGGGTAGGTCAGTTATCCGTCTAACTTTTTTCATTATTCAAGATATCCAAGACCCCAACAGTGTAAAATTTTGAATTGATTATACAGTGGAATCCACTTATAACGAGTCCTGAAACAACGAGAAGTCTGTTATTAAGACACTATTCTAAAACCCCGTTTTTCCCTTCTTTATCTTTGTAAATGAAATACTGCTATAGCGCAATCGGACAAACAAGGGAGTCGGTTATACCGGAATATAGCTGCTGCTGTGCACAGTGCATTGGATATTTATTTATGTAAAACCTCGCCAGTTGAGAAACTTGTTGGTGATCTAGCGAAACAAAGAATGGGAGAGCCCACGAGTGCCAACAATGAAGGTCTGATTGAATGAGTGGGGAGAGTGTGGCATGCACAGACAAGCAGAACGCATCATGTGATAGGCCAGCCTAGTCTAGATTATCTAGATCTACCACGCCTCTCACTTCACCGATGCGGGGATGGAGAGGTCATAGTGCTGCACTGTGATGGACGAAGTGAATGTGTGACGTGGGCAGGGTGTGGTATGTTTCTGTACTGTTCGTCAAATTTTGTGGAATCCATACGCCACATACTAATACTAACTGGAGAAGTCTGTGATAGTTTCATTTAAAGTAAAGTGTTTAGTCTCTCGTAGTGTGCAAGATAAGCTTACATTGGGAGGTGGAAGCAAAGCCTGTCCCTCAACACCATGTCGGCTTATAAACAGCCTAAATATCTCACCTGTCAAACAAACCAGTCGAAGGAAATGCTCTTATCAGTTCTCGAATGTGATCCTCCGCGAAGGGTTTCCGTTTCCGGTACGGCTCTTGGACCAGTTCCAAGTCTTGATCTGGGTCGAGACTTCGGACGGTATATCCCTCAGGTGGCTCTCTGGAATATTGTTGATGTTGTCATGAGTGAGAGTTTGATTCTCTAAAGTTCAACCGAAATGGCCCGGGTGCGATTTCTAAAAGACTAGAAGTAGAAGTAAGGAGAGCCACTACGTGTGGCTATGACTATGATTATGAAGAAACGCACACAAGCCTGCTTCCTCTTCTTTCTATCCTCCCTCTCTCTCTCTCTCTCTCTCTCTCTCTCTCTCTCTCTCTCTCTCTCTCTCTCTCTCTCTCTCTCTCTCTCTCCCTCTCTCCCTCTCTCTCTCTCTCTCTTTCTCTCTCTCTCTCTTTCTCTCTCTCTCTCTCTCACACACACACACACACACACACACATACGTTAGAGACAATACACACATTCACACCCACCCACATACACACAAGCACACACACAAAGCACACACTACAAACATAAAAATAAACATAATTATGATGTCCGTGTGTGTGTGTGTGTGTGTGTGTGTGTGTGTGTGTGTGTGTGTGTGTGTGTGTGTGTGTGTGTGTGTGTGTGTGTGTGTGTTCATGCATAATGTGTCTGAACTACTGTGAGTGTGCCTGCAAACTGCTCTAACAATACGACAATAAACTTGCAAACTGCTCCGACAATAGATTTTTACTCACATAAGACGTAGATCTTCTTTCTGTGCAGTGGCCACTTGTTTAGTCTGAGTCTCAGGGGGCGGGCCTCCCTTTCTTTCGATTACTCTCAGGACAGCGTCAAACACTGGCTCTGGGACCGCTGCAGTATCATTCATAATTTTATATTATGTCGACTTCTAGATCTACATGTACTGTGTCTGAGGTGAAGCAGTTAGGCACATCGCCATTTTAAGCCGAAGACCGAGTTCGATTTTCGTGTGGGGAGCATTTTTATCAATCACAGTTGAATCTCGATCTTTGATGAGGGTATAAAGAACATATCTATATTTTTTTTAAAAAGTAAATACACTGTTCCTTTCATTTCTACAATCGATAATCACACTGAAGGTCCTCTCGGCTTCATGATAAGTCCCTTTTCCCATTCATTCCAAATCACCAAATTATGACGAACTCAAGAACTCGGCCCGGGGGGGGGGGGGGGGGGGTCAGTAACAGGAACATTGAATTGACGACTGAACCTGTCTCTTTCCCATGTTTTTCTGGACTACTGCCGTTCTTTCCCTTGTACTTTTATACCCTTTTAGTATAGTACTAGTACGTAAGTACAGCCATTACTGACAAAAATGACTTAGGCCTAGATCTATATAATATTCTGATTGACAATATTGGAAGACAACCAAACAATCAATCAAATCAGACAATAACAAAAAGGTGAAATCGTTTCTTGCGGTTTGCCAAAGAAAAAAAAATAATAAAATGACAAAAACTTTATGAGACAATGATGTTTTTCTACCTTTGAAAAAGCAGATCTGAGTCCAGTCTATGAATCCGGGCGACGTAAGCAGGGTCTCGGCGTGTTCTGTGTTAGGGGAAAAGATGCTCATCATTCGTGGACTTGTGACGAATTCAGGAACCTGTAACATTACATATATCGCAAGCTGAATTGTGGTCGCTGAGACGGGAATTGGTACTAACTGAAAGTGCTATCTTAAACTTCTGCCCCCCCCCCCCTCTCACTTCCCCTTTTTTTCCTTCTGTTTTTCTTTCTTCTCTTTTTTTTTCGTTGTTGTTGGTTTGACGTAGGTCTACTCTCGTAAATCACTTCGAAAGTACAGGATTCCAATAACTAAAACGAGATTCGGTACACAATGAAAATGAAATTGCACGGAACGTGGGAATTAATGTCATGGTTTTTTGGTTGAAAAGGACGGGGTTTTTTTCAACAACCTTGATGGTATACTATAGCTGCGGCAAAAACCTTCAAAAGTCAAAAAGTAGGGTTAGATATGTGGCACTATTATCCAAAGTTTGTTCGTTTACTCTTTTTTGATTATTTTATTTTCTTTTTGGTCCCGTGTCCTCAGTTTGTGCCGATATTAATTTGTAAGTTACGTACGTAAAATGTGCCAACATGGAACTTTTTAAGCTTCAAAAGAAGAACAAAACAAGAAAGAGGAATTTTGTTTCTTTCTTTTCTTTTTCTTCCTTTTTTTTTTTTTTTTTTTTTTTTTTTTTTTTTTTTTTTTTTTTTTTTTTTTTTTTTTTTTTTTTTTTTTTTTTTTTTTTGTAAGTGTTTTGCGGCGCTCGCAACTGCATAAGGTCGTATTATTTAATTATGAGCGCACGGGACACATTAGACAATTTCAGTTGGTAGGAAATTTTGACCGGGTGGCGGCCGAAGCCTACTCTTATCAATTTTGGACCGCTAAGGGACCTTTAACGTGCGCAATTTGTTCACGGGATCTCCGAGATTTTTAGCCCTTATCCGAGAAGGCTTGGTGTAGATCTTCATAAGATCAGGGGTGTGGCTGAAAGACAGCAGTAAGCCAAGGAGTAGCAGTAGAAAGACTACAAAAAGAGTCAGGAGCCCAGAGGAGGGGACAAAGGAAGTGAGGAGGTGGGGGCAGAAAGTGGAGACGAAAGCAGACAATAGAACATTGTTAGAGAGCAGGAAAGGGTGTAAAAGTAGAACATTTTAGAGTAGAAAATTGTTCGTCGCTACCCTGATTCGAATCCAGGACCTATTGAATGAGAGGTGAACACCTTAACCTCTAGACCACGAGACCCCAGAAAATTGTTTGATCTGTGATGATGATGATGATGATGATGATGATGATGATGATGATGATGATGATGATGATGATGATGATGATGATGATGATGAAAGTTTGTTCTTTGACAATTTCGCTGCACTCGTACATGTGCACTCCATTCTTCATGTTAATAATTGTACTATATATCATTAACTATGGTGTGTTTGCGTGTACGCAAGAGAATGAGACATACAATTTCTTTTTTTAAAACTCACTCTGCAAGTTATGCTGCTTTATAATCTTCCTGCCTGAAATCTGAACTCGCCTTGTATCCTAGATCTATACATTCCAAACAATAAGCAACTTTGATACATGTAGGCCTAGATCTACGCTTTCATGTGCATAATTCAAACAATATTCTTTTCTTGGTTTCCTTCTTCCCTTTCAGCTTGTCGCAATTTCCAAGAATAAACAGGATATTTTTTTCCTTCATAACAAAGTATCCGCCGTTCGGTCCACGGAATTTGTAAGCAGGTTCAAACCTTTAATTAAAGGACGACAGTTGCCAATTTTAACATAGGTGAAATGAACGTTCCTTCCAAAAACAAGTTTAAAGAGACACAAAGTTCACTCATTTTTATGATTTCGAGGTGAATTCGTGTTTGTGTGCGCGCGCGTGTGTGTGTGTGTGTGTGTGTACGTGTGTGTGTGTGTGTGTGTGTGTGTGTGTGTGTGTGTGTGTGTGTGTGTGTGTGT